CAGTAGAGGAGGAATTCAAATTCCTCCGGATTGCTCAGGTTTTTTCATTGATAATTCAAAGGGCCTCAAGCAAAGGTCTTCATTGGTTCAAGGATTTTCACAAATATGTGAAAAAGATTCGTAAGGTGGCCAATTTCTCTTGCAAAACTGGATCCCCACAAGCAAAATCTGCCTCGTTGTCATAAGTCCCTCGCTGCGCTCGAAGCGTGCGAGACGCAGCGTGGGACTTTGTTGAGTTTAGTGTACCATACTCACATGATAACCCAGCTTACTCAAGGCGCTGTTCGGACGAGATAGGATTTATATAAGAGGAGGTGGTCGTCGCAAGGTGTTAATAATAAGCTTCATCTTTCTACTCTCTTGTTTTCCAACAATTCGAACTTGAACCTTTGGCCTACGATCAATTAAACTATGGGGAAGAAGATTGCGACTGTTCTCGTGATGGGCGGTGCGTTGATGGCATGTTGGTACTGTAGTAAGTCTCCAACAGGTCAGTACGGCTTCAGTTCGATCAGGTAGATGAAACAAGTTGGGTTCAGACAGTGTAAACTGCACACCTATTTCAGAACCCGTGGTTGTTCTGGACTATGGTTCCTTTCGAGGAAGGAGATCGCATCTGCATCATGACATCGAACGATTTTTTGGAATTCCATACGTAAGTAGATTTCTTACCATTTCCCTCTACGCATGCGCTAAAGTCTTTAGTTAGGCTGAGCCGCCAGTTGGGGACCGACGATTTACGAATCCCATTCCGCCTTTACGAAATTATGGGGAGCATGACGCCAGGGTAAGCACTGGACGAGCTTCTGCAGCGTGACGACCTGTGCAGCGCTGATGACCTCTCCTACCTCCAACGCGTTCCTATCTTCGCAATACATAATAGAAGCATGCACCGGTGTGTCCTCAACAGAGCTTGGGGGGTGATACAGTATCAAAGTACAAAGACTGGTTCAATAATTTGAATTTGAATCCGCTGGAGTTCTTTAAGCCGTTTGGGTCCGGACAGGAAGACTGTTTGACATTGGATGTGAGTATTCTTTCCTGCTATGTGCTCACAAACCTTGCCTGACCCTGGGTTGCGCTCACCGTTGCGCTGGCTGACGAAGCTGTACATGGATGTGATCCTGTTTCCAGATCGCTCGTCCAGCCGGCTTAAACGAAAATTCGAAACTTCCGGTGATGTACTTCATATGTGTGTAATTTGACCTGGAATTTATGATCCGCATGAAGCAAAACTAACTTACAAGGTAGATCCTGGTGGGTTCAACTACGGTGCGAGCTGGCAGCTTTCACCAGTCCCGATGGTGAAGAAGAGTATCGACATGGGTCTTCCAGTGATCTGGGTTTCGGCAAACCATCGGATGAATGTGAGTTTTTTGGTAGAGCAACACCGACTGTTTGCCTGTATCGAACCACAAGACTAAATACATTTGTATTGGTAGGCTTTTGGCTTTTTGGGTGGACGCGAAGTTGGTGAGGCTGGTGTTGGCAATCTGGGACTGAAGGATCAAAGATTGAGCATGGAATGGATTCAGGTTGAGTGTGGTTTTTCAAGATGATTGATATGAATCACTCAGCTCTGTGTGAGAATATTACATCAGAATCTCCTAAAATGAATGTGATATTTCTAGAAACATATATCAAAGTTTGGAGGCGATCCGGAAAAAGTGATGATCTACGGAGAATCATGTAGGTCTCGATCTCTGGATTCAAAGGAAGGACTGATTAACAATCTTTCCATCTTATGGAACATACAATTTTTAGCTGGCGCGATATCTATCTCGCATCACCTCTTGGCGTACAATGGAAACCTCAATGGCCTATTCCGAGCTGCTATCTGCCAAAGTGGCACAGCCTTACCAGCTGGCAGTGAGTGCTCAGATTCTTGACGATCATTTTCAGAATTTCTAAGCTGAACACTTCCAATTGCAGAGCTCTCTGAAGGAGCAGGGCAGAAAGGATTCGATTTTCTGGTAGATAAAGTAGGTTGTAAAGACTCCAAGGATAGACTGGATTGTCTCCGCCATGCGGATTTGAAAAAATTGCAGTAAGCTCTTTTCAAGTCTTTCTGCGACGGATTTTTGTTGTAGAATTGACCGTTTTCGTAGGGATGCGATCAATGACCTTCCTGGAACCTTTTCCTTTGGGGCTTTCCCATTTACCTTCGGCCCATCTGTTGATGGGGAATTCATTACGGAGTCCATGCAGCTTGCCTTGGCCGCTGGTAGATGTAGGTCTCTTTTCCCGGCGTTATATTGAGATGTGTGACTGATTTCAAATTTCCTGACTCGTCGTATGCCCGATATATTCAGTCGCCAAAATCCCGCTGATTAGTACTAACATGAAAGATGAAGGGACAGTTCTTACAATATCATCGAGTTCGATTAAGACCGAAGACCAGCTCCGAGAAAGTAAGGTAGTTCTCATACTTTGTGAGTTACATAGGAGTGGAAAATTAACTTGCTTTCAACAATCAGCTTTACAGCAAAAGGTTCCCAAGGCAAGCCCGGAGATGATCGAAAAGATTTTACAACTTTGGCCCTCTGACCCAAAACTCGGATCGCCTTTCGGCACCGGTGACAAGAATGCGGTGACGCCTGTTTACAAGCAATATTCCGCAATTCTGGGTGACTTGGCATTCCAAGTAAGAAGCGTTATGTTGATATGTATTTTGCGTATGATGAATATTAACCTAAGGCTCTTTAATCAGGGTTTGAGGCGATTGTTCCTTAGAACAACAGCTAATGTGATGCCCAGTTGGAGTCTCTTGGACCGAGCAGAAGAGAATTTTCCTATAATAGGTATGCCCGCTACTCTATCCTTGAATGGCAATGGCAACTCATTCACTTACCTGTACCGGCTTTGGAAAGGTGCCTTCCATGCATCCGATCTTCCAGCTGTCATCGGTATAATTCCCGGGAAGCGGACTGACGACTATCAAGCACGTTGGATATCGTTTGCCTATAATCTTGACCCTAATTACGAGGGATTGCCGCGTTGGGAAAAGTACAACAATCGACAGTCACTCGTCATGACAAAAGACGGGTCAATAGGCATGGAGCCTGACAACTTTCGCGAGGAAGAGATAGAGTATTATCTGCAAAACCTTGACAAAATCAACTTTGTTTCACCTTGAACTTGCGTTTTTTCCATTTTTTTGAGTTATTTTATATATTCTTTTTTGTAACCCCTAACCCTCAATCCGTGCTACGTGCTGTCCAACCTCTTTTCTCATTCAGTTCTATGCATCTGCATGGTTGCATCCAAAGCATCTTTGTGAATATGATTGTCATCTGAATGTTGTCCTTTTTTGTTTTCCAAAGCCAGGTAGTTCAAAGTAGGCGCAGACTAGTCTTTTCACTTCGGGACCTCTACTTTTTTGTTTCTTGTATCTGCTTTTGTCATTTCCACACTTATGTTACGCTACCGTCCGGAGTTCTCCTGATCCAATGTCTTTGATGGACTTTCTGCCTTTTTCCACGCTTTCCCTCCAATCCCCTCTTTTCCTCTCGTCATTATCTGTCTGCTGTTATTTGGGGTTATTTTGACATGATGTCTTTTACGAAATATATATAGAACAGTTTCATCTTTTGCTGCTGTTGGGTTTTCTTTTCCTTTGATTCCTTTTTGTGAGTTAGTCCTGAAATAGTTCTAATGGATGTTGCCTCAATCTTAGAAACATCTGCCTCTACCATCCGTGAAATCACACTTCAGTCACCTTAGGATTTTGCAGTTAGGTTCAGTTCTACCAGCGCAGACCTGTAGTAATCAAATGCCACATTCCAAGGTGCCAGCACCTCTAGAAATGAGGGATTGGAAAAAAGCCAAACTATTTTCTTTGGTCCCAGCCCAGGGCTTTGACCAGTCAATCATTTCCTTAGCACTCAGTCCTGTGTTCTCTGAATTGACCTTAGGGTGATTGGGCAGCTTCAATCTTCCCCTGAAAATATATTGTGGGTTGGTACTGGTGGTTGTTGGGTCCCAAAGGCTTGCAGAGCAGAAGGAAGGAAGTCCTTCAGGTGCTCAACCTTACATGTTTTCTTGTGAATTCTTTCTTTGCACATCATTTGTACAAATACTAACTCTCTGATGTATGTGCTCCACAGTGGTCATGCAGTAAGGTAACATTATGATTTTTCAACAGCTATGTTTTTTCCAAAAAAGGAGCTTGGAGTTGTTTGCATTGCCAAAACGGGCAAGAGGATCCTTGCTTGCAGCAAAAGCTTTGGGAGTCACTGGAGTTGAAGCTAGACTTATATCATTGTCAGATACTTAATCTGCCTTGTTAGTTTGTGCCTGGTTGACCTGATACATTGGGTTGAGTTTATCTAATCCAAGAGGCAAAACAGTTTCTTCTCAAGCTAGATATGAACAGGTGAACAGGCCATGAGGTGTTAGCATCACACTACATTCTAAAGAGAAAACATACCCTGAGGCCCACTTTGGTTTTTGAATGGAATGAAGGCTTCTTAATCATAAACAGAATCTTGAATCAAGTCTTTTGAGTTGCCAGCTGAGTGGTTGTGAGTTGGGTCTGAGTATCAGTGATTCTGTCAGCTGTGGTGTTTGGGTCACTGCACAACTTGTTCATCATTGAATAGATTGGAAAGGATTTGTTCTTATGAACCAAAGCACCTGTGTGCTTCTATAAACACAAAGACATATCTTGTGTCAGCAAGAGCTTATGATGAATATAATTGTTTGACCTGACCTCACAATAAGGACCCAGAATTCTGGCTCTGCAATGACCATCTGAGTTTCCTCATTCAAACCACCACTTGCACTGCCAACAAAGATGCCTTGGATTGGAAAATCCAAGCTATCCTTGGATGGTGGTAGCCTTGGACACAATGTCCAAGTATATGATCCAAGGCAATCTTTGAGGCCAAAGAAAGCCTTGGATTCATTCCTTGGACATCGCGGTCCAAGGGAATGTATACCCAAGGATACCTCAGATTTTACAATCCAAGGTATCTTTGCTGGCAGTGCTGAAGCCTTCTTCAATTTGTGAACAAACCAATTCTTCATCTAGTTAGCATTATGAGAACACATGGTCAGCATGCAAACAAAAAGATAGAAGATACAGATGGAAGGAAAGAAGATGGAATCAAAAAGAAATAAGATTGGATCAATAGATATAGTGCTTACCATGTGAGAATGGTTCTTGAGCTTTGCTTTCTCAAGGCCGCACTCCCATGTGTTGTTGCATTCAGTGGTCACTGTATTCAAGGCCTCACTCTTATGTCCTCATTCTGCCTTCTTCCCAGCAAGTTTTTGAAGTACATATCAAGCTATTAGAGTTTGGCAAAGGTGCAATCCAAAACAATGGCAGGTTCAACTCAGTCATTTTGGACACCTAGTTGGGTCCCATGGATCCCCCATTTGAAAGGCCACAAACACCACCAATTTTTTATTATTTTGAAAAGAGGCTATAAAAACTGTTGGGTGGTGTATGACTTGATTTGTACAAACTCCCTGTGATCTGAGTTCCTTGCAGGGAATTTCTGCATAAAACCCAGACCTGTTTGTGAAAATACCCCCTCAGAAGGTGTGCTGAAGCCACCTTTTGCGTGTTTAGTCTTTGCAGGAGGTTGTATGTAGGGGGCAATCACAACAAATTCGCAGAGCAATGGCTAAATGTTGGAGAATAAATTCTTGAGTTAAGTGTGTCAAAACCATTAAGGAGTTATGTAACACTTCTTCTCAACTTCTGGACCAATTGGGCATTGGTGGATACAAATCAATTAGACTGAGGCTGATATCATGATAGGATTTAGGAAGAGTATTAGAATGTTCTTACCGCATTGGGATAGGAAAGGGACTAGTTTGTTATTGTAAATGTTTGACCTGTTCTGAATGTGTGACCGTGCCTTTCTGTGTTTTTCTCTTTTAAACCTCCCTCTCCCTTCATCGAATTTTTTTCCCCCATCGTGGAAAAAGATTCTGAAGGTGAGATAGTATTGTCTTTTATTTTGTAGTGTGAACATTGCTGAACCAGATTCATTACCTTATACCCTTATGGTTATTTTTCTCTTTTACTATTTCTCTTTCTATCTTTCTCAGTTTCTCTCTTTATCATCCACGTGTCCTTGTCCAGGTCTGTTCTCGAGTTTAGAACTCGTTTTATCTGTTGTCAGCTCGTGTCTAGTCAACACTAAAGCTGAACCCATCTCATCACCTTTATAAAGGTCTGTTCTTGAGTTTAGAACTCGTTTTATCTGTTGTCAGCTTGTGTCTAGTCAACACTAAAGCTGAACCCATCTCATCACCTTTATAAAGGTTGATTATTTTGTTGCAGAGCTTAGTGCCTCCGTCAACTTCGTTTTCTTACACTAAATCCATGGTATCATCATACTTGGAGGGCTTTGACAGTATTTGTCAACATGCATGTATTCTCGAGTGAAAAGTACACTCAATGAAACGTCTTTTATAGATGACTTAAACGACCTTTACGACAAACACAACTATAATTACGCAAATATAAGTGAAACGCGAGGCTATTACTGACCAGAGAGGTTTAAAAGAAATATTAAAAGTAACAGTAGTAATTTGGTCGCAACAAACGCTTTAAAAAGCTGATAACAATTGGTTCGATTTATTCGGTGTAAAAGAAGATAAAGATCCCTCCAATTAATCCTGAAAACAACATAGTATTTATACCCAACAAAAACAAGCCCCGGTACGAACATGATCCCAATCTTACATAAGAGAATACGTATATCCGGATTTCCTTCATAGTGAAAATACTAACATAAATGATTTAGTTGATCTGTCATCCTCGATCCTTCCACCGCCAAGGAATCATCCCATCAATGATTTAGGTAATCGCCCCGTTCACAAGCACATGTTCCCAGACCACCGGGCTAACGTTTCCCACGCGTTAGACCCGGAATAGGTTTTAGATATAGATGTTCAAATTGGTTCCTCAGGCCATTCGATACTTCTTTAACTGAGAATACGTATTTTGTTCAGGGGTTCATACCTTCATCAATGAATTCAAATCTCCTTATTGGTTACGTGATTTCATTAATTGATGATAGGTTTTCTTTGAACATAAATGTAGATTTTGAAATGGATGATAAGAAATATTGAATCCGAGAGAAAAAAGAACTTTTTAAGAAAAAGACTGAGAAAAGAAACTAAGAGAAAATATAAAAGTAATCAGAAAGAATCCTTGGCTGAATGTTTACATCCATATCTTATGATGTAAATGTTATGTTGTCGTAGCCAGGAGATAAGTTGACTAGTCGACTTATGCCCTGGCTGACAGTATTCTGGCCTTGACAGGCTGGTTGACTGACTTTGTTACCCAAACCCTGGTAAGGAGCATTCAAGTTTTTTCATGGGTAAAATTTGGTGATTCTAAAGTTTTGTTGGGTTTGGCGGGTTTGGATTTTGACATATTGTTGATTTGGTGTTGACAAGGCAAAAAATGAGGATGAAGAATACAGAAGAAAGAGAAGAAGGTGAGGAAAGAAGTGAGAGGAAGGATTGTAGAAAGTAATGAGATGAGTGGGAGTTGAAGGCAAGGTTTGCTTGACTAAATGTATCAACATATCAACAACAAGTACATTTCCACCTTACCTGATGTGGACTTTCTACAATACTATCATGCTACTGTCGCACCACTTGCCATCACTAGGCAGGTCAATTTTTTCAACATTGTTAGAATCACTTTAGCTTAACACAAGCCCCCTCTGTGCGGCTATGTCTGCGTGCATCATAGAGGGGCTTGGGACTCATCATGATTTCCTGGCACAGAGACTCCAAGGATTAAGTTGTCTGTTTTGTCTGCTTGTTTCTGCTTCCCTTGCTGATAAACAACACTTTTCCTTGCAGACCAAGTTTTTCACACCTCCTGGTATGCTATATCTTAGATATCATGGGTGACATGACCATCAAAATGGTTTGAAAATCTTTACAAAATGGGCTTCTTTGGATTCTAAGTTGCTTTTCCATTGTGAATACAGGCTGTACAGTGTGGTCCATCTCTTTATAGGGCAGTCATAAAGCTTGAAAAGTATTGGGATGGGGACACAGCCTTTAAAAAAAGGTGCACCCTGGCGCGGCCTCCTGCAGTGCAAAAATCAGGATAAAAACAGAAAGAATGAAAAAAAAATCAAGAATTACATTTTA